AGAAATAATTAGAGATCGTATCCTGATTATCGAGCAAGTAAGGAAGGATAGGTTATTAGGTCGTACCAATAACCATAACCAATTTAATTGAGAGTAGGAGAATTATCTTTGCATCTATGATCGAATCATTGAACCATTTCTACGAATTTTTCCTTTGGTTGGATATTTTATCTCTGTGATTTAATCTAGTTAAATCTCGAATCTTTCATCTTTGTGTCTATTTTAATTGAATTTAATTTTTATTATTTTAGGTAGTTCGATCAATTCAAAACCCCCATCTTTTTATTTATTTGTTATTCCTTCACGAAATAGTTGCATCAACTCATTTCATCCGATCTCTGTGGATACGACCCTACTCATTGCTACTACAATTTTATATTTTAGACGAGTAGGAATTTATTATTGTTGGTTTCGACAGCCACTAATAGGTGACCTTACTGTTCGAGACACTACGAACCACACTATCTCAATGTAAGACAAGGAGTATGATTGCATAAATAAATAAACTGCAAGCATATGTACTTTGACTAAAACATGATTGCCAGATCAAAATGGTATTATTAATATCTGAAAGCCAAGCTTTTACATCATATCTAACAATTGGACGGTCCGGTTTGGCGGTTAACCGGTTAAATCCAAAATTCTTGTTTTGGGCCTTCAATTTTTATTTTTTTTTTCATTTTGGGCTTAATTTTTATTTTTTAATTTTAGGCCCAAAATAGATTATTTGGGCCTAAAAATTAAGAAAAACAACAATAATGAAATAAAAATACACAATTCGTCCCATAAGCATAGAAATACACATTTTGTCCCATAAACATAAAAATACAAAAATGATGAAGATTAAATTATGCAAACTGAACCCAAGCAAGCATTCATTTTTCAGTCAGTTTATACACCTGAAATAATAAGAGCAAAGTGAATGAATTGTATTTGTCAGCCATAAAAAGCAAAGTCAGTTTATATATTTCATTTTTCAGTGAAAAAATAAGAGCAAAGTCAACAAAAGACCAAAAAGTTGAAAGTGAATGTATTGTATTTGTCGGCCATAGTGAATGACTGAATGTATATATATATTTGTTATAATTTTTTAATATTTACTGGTCCGGTCCGGTTAAATCGGCGGTTTGCCGCAGGTAATCCGTTAACCGAACCGTTATTTTGGATTTTCTAAAAAATTAACTACTGAATTTTTTAAGGTTTTTTTAACTGACCATTTAACCGATCTGCAGTCCGGATTGACGGTTTTTTTCGGTTAAAACCAGACCGTGAACACCCCTACTCGAAACTATCTCTCCACAATTTATCTCTATAGTTATACACATGTCGTCGAGTGGCGTTCTCTCCCGGGTTTTTTTCCTGGATCGCAGCCAAAATTGCTGCCGGTTTTGCCTGAGCAGCAGTCATATCACGAACAATCTCTTTAGATGAAGCACTAAGTCCGCTCACCCGTCGATTACATAATAACATAATCAATTCTAATCTATAACATAATAATTTCTAACTTCTAACATGATAAAATCTAATTTTTATTCTATAAGATAATCAATTCTAACTATAACATAATAATTTCTAACTTCTAACATAATAAAATCTAATTTGTATTCTATAAGATAATCAATTCTAACTATAACATAATAATTTCTAACTTGTAACAGATAATAGCTAATTTCTAATGTATAGCATAATCCATTCTAATATATAACATAATAATTTCTAACTTCTAACATGATAAAATCTAATTTTTAATCTATAAGATAATCAATTCTAACCTATAACATAATAATTTCTAACTTCTAACATGATAAAATATAATTTCTAATGTTATACATAATAATTTCTAACCTCTAATACGATAATAACTAATTTCTAATGTATAACATAATCAATTCTAATCTATAACATAATAATTTCTAACTTCTAACATTATAAAATCTAATTTTTAAACTATAAGATAATCAATTCTAACATATAACATAATATTTTCTCACCTGTCGATTACGCTCAGGATACACAGCAAATACATGATTATGCGTTCCGATCTATATCTTTTATTTTCCCTCTGTATGTTCCACTCGCTTACACTTTAAAATCTTCACCTTTCCTCCTTTTGTGCGTTTCGAAATAACCAATTCGAAACCGTACATAAGTTCAATATCTTTTGCCCACTCAATAGCTTCGGAATCACTAGGATATTGTGCATCCGTAACGAAAGCAACACTGCAATCAATACCGTCTCGTCCAAAATCTTCCAATGACACTTGCAATATAGTACGATGTTCATAATTTTATAATATAATAAATTTTAATCTATAACATAATTATCTCTAACTTTTAACATGATATTAATAAATTCTCTAATTTATAAGATAATCAATTCTAACCTATAACATAATAATTTTTAACCTCTAACATGACAATATTTAATTTCTTATCTATAAGATAATAAATTCTAATTTATAACATAATAATTTCTAATTTCTAATATGATATTAACTAATTTCTAATGTATATACATAATCAATATTAACCTATAACATAATAGTTTCTAACTTCTTCAATATTTAATTTCTAATCTATAAGATAATCAATTCTAACATATAAGATAATAATTTCTTACTTCTAATATCACAACATGATAATAACTAATTTCTAATGTATAACATAATTAATTCTAACATATAACATAATAATTTCTAACTTCTAACATGAGAATATTTAATTTCTAACTTATAATGTATAACATAATCATTTCTAATCTATAACATAATAATTTCTACTAATATAATTTTTTTTCAAAAAATAAAAATGGCCACCGATCGGCCGAACCGGTCGGACCGGTCGCCGTCCGACCCGTAATTGCGGACAGGCTTGGTGACGTCCGACCGGCTTGTTCGGAAGAGCACGGTACGACCAGCCGCAGAAGGCGGACGCGCACGGCTCTGTCCGAAAAAGCCGGCCGGACGGCACCAAGCCTTTCCGTGATCAATGATCGGACGACGCCTGGACCGACCGGTTTAGCTGGCCGGACGGCCGAAAAACGCACCTCGTCGGAAGATATTTTCTAGCCGGAAATCGCCCGGTACATAGGATTTTATAATTTTCTGAAGTTTTTGGAAAAATGACGGGAACAAATTATCCAATGAGAGGTGTGTAATAATAAGGGGTGGTGAATAGTAATACTAAAGAATATATATATTTATATATATATATATATATATATATATATATATAAAGAGGTTGTTGAAAAAATACATTAATAGAAAGTTTGACCAAATAAATATAATGTTTAACTTACTATTAATGGAAAGTTCAAAAAAACACATGTGAATCTTTAGTAACAAAATCTAAATCCTATTTTTTTGGTAACAAATTTGGAGACTCTTATGGCAAAATTTGAATCCCATATTTTTCGTATCATTTTTTATTTTTTTACCAAAATTTAAATCAAATCTTTTTTGGTAAGAAATTTGGAGATTTTTATGCAAAAAAAATGTGTCAATTATTTATGAAAACAAATCTAAATACAAATTAATTTAAAAATCCTGCAAATTGGATACAAATTTAGGAAGCAAATAGTTGTATAATTCTTAACCAATTCTAACAATCTTATTGAATAATTTTTCTTTCAAAAAAATTGTGTAAATTGGATAAAGCCATGTGCAATTTTTATTTTAAAATAAAACTGATATTTGGACGGGAAAATTTGGCTGCATTTTTAGGAAAATTTGGTTGCATTTTTAGGAAAAATTGATGATTTTTTTATTTGGTTTAAAAAAAAATTGGATCAATTTGTTTGATAAAAAAATCGATTTATTGGTAGGAAAATCGGTCATTTCCGGGACTAACTAATGATTTTTTTCAATTTTTTTTAATTGAAATTTAGAATTAGATTTAAAAATAAATAATGGGTGAAAATTCCTAAAAAAATTTACTTTTTTTTCTACTTTAGGTTTGTTCAATAAATAAGATCCTTTAATTTTTTTAAAATTTGTTAATTAATAACTAATAATATGCAATTTTGGATAAATTCGAACACCTATGTAGTACTTTACGTGCCAAAGAATCAAATCAATAATGTTGTACATAAATAAGTGTTTAATAACATATAAATTTTATTTTCATAAAATTTTTAATGGCATGAGACAATTTAAATACAAAAATATCTTTTAAAAAATATAAATAATAATATATACTCCCGTACATGGCACGGGCACCGTACTAGTTAAGGAGAAATTATCATTATGCCTTTAAAATATAAATTGTTTTATATTTATATCAAAGACAAAATAGATAATCCTCTCCCCCTTCATTTTCTAACCAAAGAAGGCCTCACTCACCTCCCTTACATCATCTCCATTCCCTTACCCCCTTCGTTAAAATCCCTTCTCTTCCCTGCGTTCAACACCTTCATATGCTTATTTCTCTCTCACAAACAAAAGGCATTTCTCCGGTTTTTAGCTTGAATTCTGCGGCTACTTCTCTCTCTCTAGGGTTCTTAGGCTGGGCTTCAGGCTCGTAGGTTAATGTCTCTCCGTTGATTCAGAACTCGTTAGCTTTCTCCAGATCTTATTGCACGGTTGCCTCTGTTTGAAGCTCATTTTTTTGTTTCTTAATTTTTCTCATTATGGTGAATTATATTGCGGTTGTCGCTCGAGAGAATATGCCCATGTTGAGAGTTCTAATAGATTTATAGTTTGGTTTTTTTGGCAAATTTGCTTAATGTTTAGCTTTGCGCAGAACTGTGTGTGCATGCGTCGTTGTATCTGTTTATGCATTGCGTTTTGGCCTTGTTCATAGCAACAGTCGGTTTCGGTTTTTTTTTTTTTTTTTTCTTTCTTTTTGCTGGTTAGGTGGTCTTTTGGTTGGCAGAGTTTATCTGAAGGAATAAACATGGGAACTTCATTGTTCGAGCTTATTGCTCGTGCAGATCTCAATAGGTGTTTAATTGATTACTTTGCTTATAATATTATGAATATGACTAGATTTTAAGCAAGTGAAGACCCATCAAATAGTTTCGTCCTTCCAATGCTGACCGTGTCCATGTGATTTTGCTGGATAACTGCAAATTACTCGAATTCTTAATGATATTCTCGTTATCGACTGTACTGGGAAGTGGATATGAATATGAAAGGTAGAAAATTTCTTAATTACAAAGATGAATCTGAATTACTACTAGAGGGTTTTAAATTGGCCGTAAAATAGTACCGTGGATAATGATTGCATTGTCATTTGATCCATGCAAACATGAATTTCTATAGAGAACCAACGGCGCACATAATGAGGGGGTTTTGCGAACCTTGATGTTTCTCTACAGACAAATTGCTTTTATCTTTGCTTCGCCTTATATCCAGAATCTTCTCTCTCTCTATTCCTCTTAGAGGATCTCCCGTATTCTGTACTTCAATGTCACTTTGGCACAATGAAAGCAAGTGGATTTACAAAGTGAAGCATATTTAAGAATGCTGGCCTGTTCACACTAATTTGTTGCATAGTATTTTAGCTTACTTTGTTATATGATTTTCTCTGAACACTTCTTGGTTATTAAGAACACATATGTTGAGGCTTATGCTTATTAGATGCATCTCTATGCACATAATGTACTTAGTTTTCCTGTATTTTCAATTGCCATCTTTTGTACTTCTTTTTATACTTTCGAATTGCCCTGCAGTCAAGTGAAGGTTGCAATTAATTATATCCTGAATTTAAGAACTTATTATATCCTGAGCCTTGAATTGTATTTCTTTCTCCCGTTTCTTGAATTTTATGTTACCATTTTTGTGATTGTCTAAAACACCATTAAAATTGTTGCATCACTATGGATAATGATAGAAGCGACTCTTAATTTTCTACTTTGTCAAACAACTATAATATGACATCAGCTGATGTATGTGCAGTTAAAGAAAATATTTATTCATGTAGATGATTCGTTTTGTTTGATGGTGTTTTATTCGATCACTGAAAGCCGATCTCGTTTGGTGTGCAAAAAATATGTTGAAGTGGTTATTGTTTTTTTACTTTCTTACATATTCGTTTCTTGTGTCTATTTACTTGCTTTATATCTTCAAATACAACTTATTCATGCATTTCAATGTGGTTTTTTTTATGTGCTTCTTATACCTTTTTGTGATTGCAATTTCACCACAGAGAGTTGATTATGGCGCTCAAGCTCAACACTTCTGCTGTTTACTCGCGTCAGGTAATAGTTTTATGCGTAGTTTTCTTCTACATTTTTGTCAACAAAGTATTACATTTACTCTTGGATTTCATAATTTTGTGCCTTTCTGCTCATATGATTGAATTGAAATGAAGGGAAAGTGCTGTTCTTAGTTCCGTGCTGTTTTTTCCCCAAGAATGTTGTGAAAATAATGATGAGACAGTAAATTTGTAGGGATGAGGAGTTTGCCGCATGTCCTATATGATAATTTCATTTATGTAGGTTGTAAGTACTCGGAGGTTTTGCATAATCTGTCTCCGTATGTCATTTTTCACATTTTAAAGAAATTTTCTCTTGCAGAAAAGTTTATCTCTTGTGTCCAAATTGGATTTTTTTTTTCCTTTCATCATTTGTACTCGAGCTTGTCTAATGAATGCAGTGAATTTGTATTTTCATCAAATTTGCTTCACGTTACTTGCCGAATTCAAAGAGTTCCAATCCTATCAGGTGATTGAATGAACAGGCCTGGTTTTGTTGTCTTCCATCTCTGTATGAGTGATTCAAAGAGTTTGGATCAAGCTGAATTGTCTTCCAGTTAATAAATTTGCTGTTCATTTTAATTTATAAGTTTCTCTAATGTGGAAACAAGTTCATTGCTGCTGTAACTTGAACATCCCAAAATATAGTACTAAGCTTTAAAGGGGCCATAATTCCTCCTCTTCATATCCACCATAACAAAACTTTTTTTTTCTGCAGAACCTCCCATTTTACCATAAATCTCAGAGCAGCATATTGAGTTTCAAACCCAGTCGATCATATCAAAATGGCTCTAAAACATTTTGCAGTATGGACATGGCAGCTGACGGGTCAGAAACTCCTAGGAAAATCACTTTTGGTCATGTTGTGGACAAGGCACGGAATTTGTGGGATAATTCTCCACAGCCCATCAAAAGCTTCCCCTGGCACAACACATTGGACAATTTTATTCAACTCGTTCTTGATCTAGTCTTAGCGGTTGTCAAATACTTATCTATACCTCTGTTTGTCATCACATCTGTTAGTGAAATGTCTTACTGTGCTCATGAGAGGAAGCTGTACTTGGTCCCCTTTCCGTTTCTGGTCGGTGTTGTTGTTTCTGCTGTGCTGGTGGACGCAGCCCTCGAATCATCTCCATATCTGAAGGTACTTTTACTTTTGAAATTTGGTTTTTGTTCTTTTTATGATGTTGGATGTGTAATCTGCTTTCTCTGAGAGATTAACCTTCTCCATGTTAACATTTTTTTTATAGATAATTGCTAAAATTGCACTTGGGGCTCGTCTCTCTCTC